TGGTGTAGATGACCAAGTAGTGCGCTCACTTTCGTTTCCGCTGACCGTTGATGATCTCCCAAGGCTCCGAATCCAGATTTCCGCTCGAAGTCCACAGACGGATGTTGTAGTCCACAGCAGTAGGATGTCTTGACCTCCGTCGTGACGTCCGCAGCTCCTAGTGTTCGCGTAAAGCGAGGCTCATAACCTCACAGAATGTGGCGTCCTGCAGCAGCGGAGGTGGCGGTGCTGCTGTAGCTCGTAGACTTTGTAGTCTACCACAGAGGTTACACTGCTGTCACCGCTCTATCACAGAGGTTGGTCTACACTGCTGTGAGATCGGTAGGCCCGAGCGAGCTCTGGAAAGAGAAATGTAGATAGATTTTCTTATCAACTGACTCCCTGGTCAGGCTTTGATGGGTGCTAGATGAGAGTGAGCACAAGGGGCGAAGGCGCGCTTGTGTCTTATCTCAACAACAAAACAAAACAAAAAAACAAGCAGGAAAAACAACACAGCAGGTTCCGAGGGTCTCCGGAGTAACGGCCCGAGTACCGGAATTTCGGGGTTCGGAACAAAAAAAAAAACTACAGTCTCGCCTGCCGAATTATCTCCGCTATAACTCTGTGCTCATGTTCTCTGCTGAGTACCATCTCTTCTTTCTGTAATATGTCTACGGAAGGCTAGTTGCCGCAGTCGCACCTATGGTAAACTGTGCCTGACTACGTTGTAACAGTTTTCCTCGACAGACGTAGGCCCGCCTGCGGTCAATTTTTCGCATTTTTTGCTGGCCGGCAATCAACGAAAGCATCTTGTGGGCGCTTTGACATGACAACCAGGTTGGAGTGAGCACTCTCTACAACGCCACGATGCATTCGATATCTTCTGGTCAAACTTGTCCTAGAGGCTCTGGACACTTCCTCCATGTACCCCTCTATTCCCTGGCCTAGCCCTGCGAGAGAGGTGAGCGGCATCGATCTGTTTTCGTCGACTGGAAGAACATTAGGCACGTCATACTCTACCCCTCGTACGTGGCTAAAGACGTCGTGAACCCACACCATAACATCGCCTTCCGAAAACATGCCATCCTTGCAAAGCTACTTGTGTAGTCGGACGGAGCCTTGCGATCGATGAAAATTGGTATCATATCCTGGCCTCGGTACTCTTCTGGGTGACACGCATCAGGGTGACCGATCCATATGGTAAAGGGTTTCTCATTCGAGTGAACATGAGTTCCATCTCCCTCTCTCTTGTGGTCTCCTCGTCGTCGTTACTTCTTCGCCGGGACCACTCTGCTGGTGCCTCCGGAAGAAATTTAGTCACAGTTATTTACCCAGCAATCAATCAAGTCACAGTCATTACCCTATAATTTTCAAATGAGTGAACGCAGGACCACCAGACTTTGGGCTACTCGACCCGCCAACTTCAATACACAGATACACAGGTACTCAGAAAAATCTTGGGTGTCGCATGTGTCGGGCGAAATAATGACCCTGGTTCTGTCGTGAAACGTATCAGCAAGACAACCGGGTAATACCAATATGTAAATACCAGTAGAACATACATGGATTTGGGCCGCGGCTAGTCGACCGAAAACCGTAAATACCAAGAACACCTATTTCCAGAACATACAGGAATTTGGGCCGCGGCTAATCGACCGATCAGTGTAAATACCAATTAAAGCTGCCAAGTGATAAACGTTTTTCAGGTTGATCTGTTCGAACGTAGAGCACCAGGCTTGTGCAGATAGTTATTGTAGCTAGCCTACATACGGGTCATATTAGGCGAGAGAACTCATTGGGCAAAGAGAAGACCCACGGTCCGCCGTGAAACTTCAAGCAGGACGGGTGTAGGTAGCCACGACGCCGCGTGTTTCGGTGGATACGATTTTGCTGATGGCTTGGCATCCCTCGACCTTGATCGCCTTCGATTCGGAGCGAGAGGCGGAACGAACTGCAGGCAAAATGTCACCTGCGGCTTGGAAGATGTATTTTCTGCCTAGGAGGGTGTTCGGCTTCTTCGTGACCAGAAAAGTCTTCCTCTCCTTGCATCTGCTTTCGCCCCCCCACAGCTGACGTGCAAATCAGAAGGTGATATCACAGGTGGCCGGTCTCAGCTCGAGCGTTCTAACAGGTAGGTGGTCGTGCCATGTTTTCTCTGTTGTTTTAAGTTGTTGTTGTTGTTGTTGTTGTTGTTGGGTACTAGACTACATAGTCTGCGGACTACATAGTCTTACCGAAAACCGTTCCGTTTCTCTCTGCCCAGTACCTTCTTCTGTCCCTATGATACTAGTCTATTGAAACGTATGACGAAATCTCTTTCGTTGCTGATTCGGCAAACCTCCAACGGGCTGATTCTGCAAACCTCCATGTAGGCTGTGTCTTAGCTCCATTTAGGATGCATCTTGGCTCGACACTACAATTCACCTCGAGACACAGAAATTACGAAAACACATAAAATACGAAAATGTTCTACACACCTCCCTTGTACTCACCTTGGTCATCAGCAACTGATCCCCACCTCTGCTGCTTGTGCTGGAAGCTTCAAAGATCATCTCTTCTTCTTCGGTCGGCTCCTCAAGAATGAAGTCCATCGCTTCACCCAGCAGGGTACAGAGGTGTCTGGGGCCCTGGACTACCCATGTCTGGTTGATGATGTTTTGCGTTGTGGTGCCTTTGGTGTTCGCCCCCTTGATATCAGAACCGCTTCCCGTGGCAGCTCCCAAAGTGGTGATGCTCCACATGCACTGGTACGTTGGTAGACCCGCCGTTGTTATCGCGAATTNATCATCTCTTCTTCTTCGGTCGGCTCCTCAAGAATGAAGTCCATCGCTTCACCCAGCAGGGTACAGAGGTGTCTGGGGCCCTGGACTACCCATGTCTGGTTGATGATGTTTTGCGTTGTGGTGCCTTTGGTGTTCGCCCCCTTGATATCAGAACCGCTTCCCGTGGCAGCTCCCAAAGTGGTGATGCTCCACATGCACTGGTACGTTGGTAGACCCGCCGTTGTTATCGCGAATTATCACCTCGTGGGAAGCGAGCCAGCCGAAATGAAACCTACACTTGAACTGCTTCGCGCAGTTATCCGTAAAAAAAATCGCTCGCATCATGGTGGGAGCGCCTAGTTTCCGCATCAAGGCGGGAAAAACTCCGTCATATTCTTAAACATGACATGCTGCTCCCACGCGTTGTCCTGATTTTCTATAGTCGCTGAGCACTTGGAAAGAGTAGGCCCACACACGTCCCTTCCACTTAAAGTAAATAGGGCAGGGGAATATCGTTACATTTTCGTGCTGCCAGTGCTGCAATTGTACTTCGTCTTGCTCCATGAGCTGAAGCTTCTCCTGAAGTCGAAGACGAAAGCAACCGTACCTTCCTCTAAGGTACGGAGAGTTTCGCTGAATGCGCTCCGTTGGGTGTGGTACTGCCGCCGGTGAGGAGTGCATCGCCGGAATATTTCTCTGAATTCTTCGGTAAAATCGTCAACTGTCCCCGTCTTGGTAGCAACGACCTGGGCGGACGGGATCTAGGGGCATGAAATGAAGATCGACGTGGGTTGCCCTGGTACTGTTCGTATTAACGCTGAGAACCATAGATGTACACGTGGGGTTTGGCTGTTTCCGTTCATCGGGGAGGGTACTTCAGAACCACGACAAGTTCGACAGTTCCCGCTACAAGCTGATCTATCGACGAGGGGTCGGTGGGCCATCATCGAGCTCGTTCATACGTGTATCTCGCAAGAATGTGTCATCGAAATAATACATGCTCACACTTGTCCATCGCAAAACAACGAGAATTGAACGAGTTGCTAGGCAACTGCATTGAGTGAAACGTCTTGTGTAGTCGACACAAAACAACATATTGGTGAAATTGAGAGCGAAGCATGAAATTGAGAGCGAGAGCCAAAAAAATTAAAATTCGGGTCCAGACGCCTGTTGCCATTTCTTGGGACGTTTGGGGCGGGCTCTTCCAAGAAGAGGCGCAAAGTAATGGTCTCATCAGCAGCGTCACGAGTATATGCGTGTCATCGTCATCGGATGCTGCAGCCAGGAGCTAGACAAGTTGCTAGATTTCCCCAGATTGGCTATTCCTGCCTCAAACTGTTGCAGGGCGGTTTGGCCTCGGGCGGTGGGCTCTGCTGTAGCTTCTGCTCGCCGCTCCAACTCCACATCGAGAGACTCCCACAGGATGACAGGGTATCTGTTTGTAGCTACGGGCTGGCCCTTCAATTCAAGCTACACAGCAAGCTCCACCTCTCAGCAGTAGTCCAGCTGCAGCGCATCGCNTGTAGAGTATACTGCACTGCGTTTGCTCCTTGCTGCTGCTCTTGGCTGACCCAGGACTTCGAAAAATCCCCACAGGTACGAGCAAACTTTTTTGTGTGTGGTCGAAGATGGACTGCGCCTCTGCACAAGCCCAACATGCCACCATGCACAACATACTACTGCTGCCGTTCACCTGTCGCCGTCCTTCCACGTCTACCTGTCCATGACACATGCTGCCACTTGATGCGGCAACATCTGGGAACAACACGGACACAGGGAGTACCCCCGTACCCATACGCACAACCTCTCATTCCTCCCTTGTCAAACAAAAATGATGTAACATGCATGAAATGATGAACTCTGTCTTTATTTACAAGTATGGTCCACGCTGCCTACAAATGGGAGAGGTAGCCATACCTCCTACCTACACACGGACGAGAGAGGTGAACACACCCACTGCATTTAACACACACCCACATGTCGGTTATGAAACCTCATCAACCACACGCCTCTATCGGCGACCACGTCATCAGGAGGCAATGATGAGAAATGTTCTCCCGTGCCCTTCTCACATTTAACGACATGAAATCCCACAACATAACATATATGTGACACACAAGACAGCTACCAAACTGATCTTTGGAGCCTGTCACCCGAGAGTTGTCCCTATATGCTGTCTAGGAACTCGTAGACATACAGGTAGTTTTCTCTGACCGTATGATGCCATTGTTAAACTGTCTCTGACTCTTTTCTATGATAGAGATGGCACATCAGCCGCACATACTCCGCACATATGCATACCAAACTGAGAATGTGTTTGTAAACTGATGGAGATTGCATGTGTTAGAACTAATAGGGTGCGACACACAAAACGCCCGACTACCCAACAGTACCCAACACCTTTCGTCTGCACCTTCCCAACATAACATATATGAGACACACAAGACAGCTGCTTAGCTACCAAACTGATTTGTTGAGCCTGTTACCCACAGGGGAGATGTCCCTATATGCTGTCTGGGAAATCGTAGACACACAGGTAGTTTTCTCTGACGCTATGATTCCATTGTTAATCTGTCTCTGACTCTTTTCTATGATAGAGATGGACTCGTTGTGTCATATTAAGAAAAAAAAAAAACGGCGGGAGACAGTGCAGAGGGAGAGAGAAGTGCAGGAAGAAGATACTGTTGTTTTTGTGTAATGCAACAGCAATCTCCACCCATAGGCCATCAGGGCAGCCCGCGCGAGCGTGGTGGGCACAGACAGGGTCATAGTAAGGTCGATGGGTGGTCGCAGTGCGACCGGTACGGCATGTCGGCCTTTTTGACCTTGAAATGATGAGTCACCAAGCTGCCTAAACCAATCTATATTCAGTATGACAAAATCGTCTATGAGAATCATCTATGTAGACCTATAGCAGGGATTTGTACTTCTGTAATCCTCTGTCCCTCCCCCCTATGTGGGCCCTGCCGGGTCTATAGCGCTCCCTTCACGCCCACAAAGCAACAAAGCGCACAGCACACGAACTGAGCACCCAGAAGCCCCCAAAGCTATGGACATGCCAACGCCCGACGTCGAGGGGTACAAGGCCGGGAACACGATGGCCTGCCATGGGCAGAGGGTGTCGCTGATCGCGGCGAACACGCCGGCGGAAGAAGGCACCAGCACCCTCTTGCGCGCGTTTGCGTTTGAGGTAGCCGCGAAGGTTGGCGCCGAGTACTGCCATCACGACACCGCTCCGGAGCCAATGCCGAGCATGGCCCTCGCTGCTGCGAAGAAGGCTGCGGCGGAGCATCCGGGTTTGTGTGGGGTTCACCACGCTCACATAATAGCAGCCGTGCGGACCGAGGACGTGACAAGTCGATCGGGCTTCACCGCTGCCAACAAGTTCCGCAACCAAGTCAGTATTGCCTGAGGCAGAGGGGCGGGTGCAGCTGTTGTTGTTTGGTGTTGTTGTTGGAGCAACAAGGCTTTGGTTATTGTTGTCTAAGGAGCACGGAGTCAAGAGAGAAAGAAACGAGCTGCTGGTCCCAGAAAGAGATAGGGCTGTACAGCCGCGATAGTGTAATGCTACATTTCAGAGGTGGAACAAACTTCAACGTACGCCGACCCTGCTGCTGTCGTAGCATATGCATAGGTACACCTTCCATTCGCCCGACGCTACTGCTGTCGTATGCGTATGCATAGTTACGCCATCCCATCCTGCTGTTTGTTCGACCCGCTCTACGACGACTGCACACAGCAGTGATCGCTGACGGGCAAACTCCTCGCTTTGTGGAAGTTCGTTTCAACCTTAGCTCTCTCCGCCCATTTGATTGTATGTGTGCATGTATACAGCACTAAACTGTAGACTAGAGGTCTAATACTACTGCCGTGCATCATGTGTGTATTGCATGCAATGCCACAGGCGTGCTACGACGGGGGCATGGCGATGAATACGCGTGGGAAGGGAGTGCAGCTGAAGAGAGCAGACTGCTTCACGCATGCCTGCCGGGCAGTGTGGCCTGGAAATGAGGAAATGGAGGCCTCTGTGGTGGAGGCATTTAGAGAAACTAATAGAGGTGGTGTCATCATCCTTCGCAACACCTCCACATGTTGGCGTGTTGCGTTCATGTCTTGAACGTCGTGGATGAAGGCCGACTGTTTCNGGGAGTGCAGCTGAAGAGAGCAGACTGCTTCACGCATGCCTGCCGGGCAGTGTGGCCTGGAAATGAGGAAATGGAGGCCTCTGTGGTGGAGGCATTTAGAGAAACTAATAGAGGTGGTGTCATCATCCTTCGCAACACCTCCACATGTTGGCGTGTTGCGTTCATGTCTTGAACGTCGTGGATGAAGGCCGACTGTTTCGTATGAGGACCTGCGGCCGAATGTATGTCCGTTGTCCGTGCTTTCATTTTGTCTTATTTATTTTTTATGCCGCAGCACTGTCGTCGGGAGATGCGCATTGTTGTCGTGATGAAAGTATATATGTATGCGGATGTGGACGTGGGCTTTCCAAGAGGGGTGCCGAGAAACAACCGCCCTGTCTTGATGTATGCTTTGATTTTTGAAAAAGAACACCGCGTGATGCGTGCGTGATCAGGATGTGGATGTGTAGGTACTACCTGATCGGCAGCGCATGAGGGTTGCAGCTGCACCGGTGGCTACACCCCGGTCTACATATACGGGCCCAAGATTGTCGGACGACGTCGTAGTCTTGATTCATTATTTGGCTTTTTTTGTTGCTTTGTTAGAGAGCGCTTGCCTGCGAGAGCGTTGGACTCTTTTGTTTGTTGTTATGCCCGGCAATTGACACCAGCGATGCCTGGCGTATAATCTTTCTCGAAGTGTGCACCCTTGTGGGGTAGTTGGCCTGTGACCATGGTAGACGTGCGCGTCACACGGGTACCGATATTAGATGGCGCTGACCAGAGGCTGCCGCTGTTTTTTCATGTGAAGAACAAGAATATGAACGACAGCAACGACAAATTTCCTGGCGAAAAGCAACAACGCTTCCATGCGACAAGCACGGCCATGAGGCAAGGGCTCGCGACAACATTTGTCGATTGTGCCCAAACAACATTTCAACAGGCATTACACGACACGTGCCTCTTCGCTCTTGCCACCATGATAGTGAACGGCACGTGACAAACAGAGTGTCCGCGGTACCATAAAACATGAGTGTATGCGTGTTGTTNCAAATTTCCTGGCGAAAAGCAACAACGCTTCCATGCGACAAGCACGGCCATGAGGCAAGCGCTCGCGACAACATGTGTCGATTGTGCCCAAACAACATTTCAACAGGCATTACACGACACGTGCCTCTTCGCTCTTGCCACCATGATAGTGAACGGCACGTGACAAACAGAGTGTCCGCGGTACCATAAAACATGAGTGTATGCGTGTTGTTCAATGTACGATAGACACGAGTCGTAACACCTTTCCGCATATTTTGCATGCGCAAGACTCCTTCCATTGGCGCAGGGCATTCGCCCGCCTGTTGACACATGAACCTACGCTTCCATTCCAACCCGGAACGCTGACATTGCTAACGCATGCCGGACTAACCCTAACCCTGGCACCCGAGTAGCGAAAAAAGAGCAGGGGGTTGTACGAGGTACCCATGAAGCCGTGGGAATCCCTCCTGCCTCCTGTTATTCTCTGCGTGTTTCGAGTGCATACGAACCGCCGCACCGGGCGGCATCTTCACACCGTAGCATGCAAACAATGACAATGACAACTCTGATTCAACTATCAGCTAGTCAAGCTACAGACAGAAGATCGTTTCAACAGGGCTGCTTGTCGACTAACTTGTATGGACCCCCCCCGATAGTCTTCTGACGGTGGCGGCGACGCATTTTCTGGCACTTCAAAGCACTTGCCTGGGACACACACAATCACAATGAATTGCTCGGGCGGCGATCCAAACCAATTGATTGGCTTGTACGTTCTGTCGGCGGCCCAGTTTTTAGCGGCAACATGCANTACGTTCTCTCGGCGGCCCACTTTTTAGCGGCAACATGCGCTTCTGGTATTTTACTGCACGTATTGCACAGCATCAACGTCCGGTCCTTCCCCGTCCCACCCGTGCAAGTATCACACCAGCATACCCCACAAGTTCTAGTCCCAGTGTACCGACCGGCCGTCTTTTTGCAAGCCCCCCCATGGCATACACGCTGACCGCGTGCGCCCTTCACGCGGTACGACTCCACTGTCGTTGTGCGCCTTGCCCCCTTCCCACCGTCACCCACGTTACACAAGGACATGAGGTGATTCGCGAGCCTACAGTCCCAGTCAATACGCTCCATCTTCGTAGCCTTCTCGACTAGGCATTGAAATTCTTGGAGCTCTGCCACCGTGAGGTCGCAACTGCCCGCCGCCGCCTCTCCCTCTCCGGCTTCCCCGGCGTCCCCGGCAT